CAGACTAATGAATAATAAAATATTGGACTATCAACTTCCGTATCATATAATTAAATAAAAATTATGTTAGGGCACTATTAAAATATTTCCACAGTATTAGGATGCCATTTAAAATTTTTGAAATATAAAACTTATTTTGGAATTGCTATAGATTATTTGGAATTGCTATTGTTTTTTTTTTACAAACTATTTGAATTTGAATCATTTCAATGAAAACATCATTTGTTTTAAAAATATTTTTTAAGGTTCTTTTAGCAACAATATATTTAATAATTATAATCACTATCTTTACAAAAGTTATTTAATTTTGCATTTTTTATGATGAAAACCATGAATATAAATTAATTTATATTTAATTAAAAAATATAATTTCATACATTAAAAAATTTTTTTTTTGCATATTTAATTACATATTCACGCATAAAATATCGATTGTTATATTTTGATAGTTTGAAGTTAAAAAACACAGATAAAATGCTTTTCTTTTGATATAGAAACATTTAATTTAATATTTAATCTATTCAAAACTATTTAAACGAATAAAATATATTACTTGACAACAGTTGTTATTTTTCTTTGTTTGCAGTCTGCACTTGTACATTCTCCAACTACATCCAAAGAAAATGTGTTCTTTGAAGGAGGAGTATGGGAATTATAGCGAAGAGAAGTCTGAAATATAAAATTAATGAGAATAGTTAAGCACACCTCTAAACTAAATTCTTACAAAAAGTCAATATAAAAATCAGGAATAATGTCAAAAATAAATTTTCTTCATGAAAAAAAAGTATGAATATTTGTTGCTTATATATAAGTATGAATATATAAAAGTATGAATGTATATAACATCAAATAATTTAAATAAATGCATTTAAAGACGTGGCGCCATCTATATTACGTGGCGCCATCTATATTTGCAAAACAGTACTATGAATTTTGTTTTACTTGCCGTTTTGGCTTCAAATATTTATAAAAATTTGACTGCATTTATTATCAGTTGTATATTTGTATGGAAAAAGCGAGGAGAAAAGATTTTAACTGCTGTTATGGTTAAAAATAAAGTATATAAATAATCTTAGATACTGTCCTTTAAAAATCGTAAAATATAGCACATGAAGCTTGCTGTGAGATATGTAGAAGAGACGCGCAGATGAAAATCTACCATATTAAAATATTTAAATTTGAAAAGATACTAAATTATGTAATTGTATTAAATAATTATTAATTAAGTTATTAAAGTTAAAATTTGATGTCCCAATGATTATGCGCTGAACGGCAAATTATTTGAAAAAGTTAAATTATTTTATTAAAATGTAAGGTTTGCAATAAATTAGAAATAATACAGTTAATACACTTTAATATTGGACTATTTTTTATTAGCCTTGGATCACAAACTTTTATTTTCAGCTCTTCCATCTATCTATTATGTTATTTTAGTCAATTTTTTTCAACATAGATTTTTCATATCTGATTGAAATGTAAAAAGTAAGATTTAAAATATTTCATCTAGTGTCTTTTAAAGTTTAAAGATCGTTTGCCAGGTTGCAAAATTTTAATCACATTTTATGTGTAGAACTGAATACAATATTACATGAGTTGAAGAAGAAAAAGATCACACAATTTGAATGGCCATACTAGTTAAATTGTGTTTGAGCAGCTAAAATGACTTCTGTAATAAAAGTGTGAGTACTTCTGTAGTTCAAATGTGACTTGATGAGATTTGTTTCCTTCGCGCTAAAGAACATGCTGTTGAAAAAATTTATCCATAATTGTGTCCATCCCTTGAAGAACTTATCGTTTTAAGAAAAAGGGCAGAGTGATACAGCCGTTCCATTGTATTTGTACAAACGAATTAAAACTTTTTAATCGAAATTGTTTAATACTCCCCCACAAAACTAATTTACTGATTCCATCTTGCACAAAATGATTTACATATTTTCTTTCACCTAATTTATTAATCAACAAATTTAACTTGGCTTTCCAATGTCTTGCTAACGAACAATTTCCAAGCCAACATGCATATCCTAGTGAAATAAAATAATCACTACTTATAAAATCAAGAGGATTAACTAAACTAGAAGGCAGCAGAATTCTGTCATAAAGTTTAAGATAGTTTGTTTCGTGAATGATCGATGGCGATTTTTTTTTATATTGAAATGCATGTTATTTCAATTAGAAACAGAATGATATACCTGAATAAGTCCACAGCCTGTTCCAGTTGCAGTGATGTCAAGATCGCTTGGAACTTGAGAAACTTTATTTCGTTGTACCAGCAGTTTGTTATCCTCGGTTATTTTCACGTTTTCAGTCAATCCACCACTGATACTGACCGAAATATCGACTGGGTCTTTGAAAATTATCTTGGCGAATTTGCTCAAGGCATCTAAACCAACACACGTATCCTAGAAAAATAAAAGTAAGTTAAGTAATAGAATGTTTCATGAAATACACTTTACTTATCTAAACTTTTTGACACTTATTTTTTAGTTATTTTTTAATCTTTAATTATTTAGAACAATCTACAAATAAAAAAAATTGTTAATTAAATCTGAAAATTGACTATAAGATTTTATTAATAAATATTTCAATATTCCCTTATATAAGTGCAGATTACTAAAACAAATTTATGGAATGGCTTCATTTGACGTCAAACTTAAATCCACATAATACAACCATCAATCAAAGAAAATTATAAAAAAAACCCCACCCAAATTTGGTTAAAATTAATTACCCTCAGTAACTAGATGCCAATAATAAGAGACGAACAAAAATTTAAATGAATGGCATAAAAATGCATTAACTTTTAATTTGGGATTTTTGGGATTTTTTAAATTTAGCACTAAGAAACTTAGTGCTAAATTTGCTAGTTATTTGGGATTTAAAAAATTTTTTTTTGAAGGTCGTACGTAATCGCACTGTTTTATCTTTTATGCAACAAATATTTCAATTAAATTTTTAGATATGATAGATATCAAAATTCATAGAAATGACAGTTTGATTGTTAATAATCAAGTCAGAATCAGTAGAATTAAATATTTATCACACAAACTGGGATTTTCATACTCAGCATTAAATTGCTAAGAAAGTTAACATCATACCTGAGTCGAATGGAAACCACCATAAGGATTCAAGTTCTTTGTCAAATAACGAATGAGAGGAAGAATGTCCGATTTACTGTTTCCAACTTTGAGGTTTGCCAGCACAGCATATGCATCCGTTTCTACGTTAAGAGACTTGGTTCCGTCTGGATTCATGTAATATGTGGCTCCTCCTGCAAATGAAATATCCAAAAAGTTAAGATAATCTTTGAATGAACAAGATAAAGAAACACATATTCAATTAAACAAAGAATAAAAACTAAATTATATTAATATATTATAATAATATTTCAAAAACTCCTCCAATAACATACAATCAAGGAAATAATTTAATATGAATCCTTTCAGTTAATTTAATAATTAACTAGTTAATATTGGAGACATTTATGCTTGATTTGAAACTGAAATTTAATTATATTGCATAAATTTATATTGCATAAATGAAAGTTTTTAAGGAAGGACAAATTTATTAAATTCATCTCAATGAACAATTTTAAATATTTTTGTTTCATATAAGCTTATAACAAACTTCATAAATTTTTATTTTTTAAATATGGATTTAAAATGCATTCTTACGTTATCTCTATACACGTCTTATTACTCGCATTATTTCTGTCTTTAAATTCCTGTTATATTTTCTTTAAAGGCATTTTTGTGATACGTTCTCGTTCTTAAGTAACTTTTACCATAAGCATTTAAAAAAAAAAATTATGTACCTTAATATCGCTAATTTACACACTGTGATCTTTATGAAAATTTAACATTTATGATTAAATTAGTTTCTAATTTTCCTTACATAAGTACTTAAATATGAATAATTTATTGATAATATTCAGTTTTGACATATTATTTAATCATCAATAAATTATATATTCTCAATTTTTTTACACACCGGGAACATCATGTAATGAATGGCATATCTCATATATTTCTCCGACTTCGAGTAAAATATTTCGCTTCCCAGGTGTATATTCAAGTGTGACCTTTGGATGAAAATGTATCATATATTTAGCTGTAATATGACACATTCATATATGATGTGATAATTTCCAGCTAGTTTCATCGGGTCTTAAATCAGTGTTTGATTGGAAAACTGGCAAGGAAAAATTGCTGATATTTCCGCTTTCTACATACTAACTGTGTGCAGCATTACTGGACTATTATTACATTACTACTGTGTTGTGGATATTTTTTGTGGTGCATCGGTTATATATGCCATCTAGTTTATATGTTATGTAGGCCATCAACGGATGATGAGATGAGTGCATATAGGCTATATAGATGAGGACTTATTGGGAGTACTTTCAGGCATAATTACACCTCATTTGAGTAATATATGATAGAAAACTGATTACCGAAGTGAGTATTCTTTCTTACATTGCCACGATCACTATTGAATCTACTTTTTCCTAAAAACACTGGCTGCCAACAATTCCACACCTTACCTCTTAATTATGAGTTGGGTTCAGCGTATAAATGTATTTTTTTTACACCAACAACTTCGTGCTTAAAACTTGCATCCATGAACAGTCCACCGACAGAAATAAAAACGTTATTATATTTCGACAGGATTTTCATAAGAAACATCACTGAATTTCTGTAGAGAGAAAAAATTCATAAAACTTGTTTGAGATAAACACATTGTTAATTTTTACATTCTTTTAATGAGATTAAATAAAAAACCATGTGAATAGGAAAATTACATTCTAAATTTGACTGTTATCATCAGTAAATAGGAATTTGATTAAATCTCAAAAACAGATAGCAAAGATTGTTCCTTCCTACATAACCTTCTGTTTCCAAAGAATCAGCACAGACGCCATAATTTTCTTTTCAATTGACCATCCTTTGTCTTAATGCGTGATCAAAAGGATTATTGTTTAATGAAAGCTTTATTGTGTAGCCAACGGCCATACCATGCTGAATATACCGGTTCTCGTTAGATCACCGAAGTCAAGCATCATTGGGCGCGGTCAGTACTTGGGTGGGTGACCACCTGGGAACACCGCGTGCCGCTGGCAAATTTGGGACCTGAATGGTCGAGTGTCTAGCGCTCTGGCGCTCGGTGCCACAGGTTTCGGGTTCGAATCCCGGCGGTGCCATGGATGTTTGTAGTGGTTCGGAATCCACTTTAAGCCGTAGGTCCCTGTAAGAGCGTCACGGAGCAAATGTCAGACTTCTACCTACGGGTGCTCCATCACAACAGAAGCTGCTTCCTTCCCCTTCAATCATGAGCACGTATGGGCTCGTGGGCTTGGCCAGCCAAGTGGGATAAGAAACAACAAACAACAAACAAGCTTTATTGTTAAGTTTTAAAGTTTAATGTTTTATTTTTAATGATAATGAAAACCAATACAATTTTGTGAAGAGCCCCTCATTTCTGATAGAATCCCCGCCCTTCAACCCTTTAGTTGATGTAAAGATTAAACGACGAACTATTTGTATTTAAAATGAGAAAATCGAATCTTGAAAAATCTACACTTTTGGCAAGCATAACATTTTTTTCTTTCATTTTTTTTTCATTACTTCTGACTGCAGTTTGAATAACATATTTCAACATTTTTTTATTTCACATTTTCACTATAACTCATTGATTATAAGGAGAAGATTACAATATTATTTTCATTAATTGAGGCAATTTTCAATAATATTATACATGTATTATTTATACATCACGGATCTCAATTTCCAACTTGAATGCCCTAAACAGTTCTTTGACGTAGCGAGTTGAAGGAGATTTCGGGAGGAGTTATTACTGAAATTTTTAATTTACAACCAGATTATCGATGGTTGATGATTATACAATTTTGTCACAACTCTCATCAAATGCCTCATTTCCGGAATCAGTGAACACAACACACACCGCCGGTGATTGCCACTTTCCACATAATTACACAAAATTTATGCTCGTTTAATAATAATACTAAACATATAGAAAAGTTTTGTATGATAAATGACAGCCTGGCGGTTTCAAACTATTGTGTCCTAATGCACTGTCCACTGTCCACTGTCCACTAATCCACTGTCCTAATGCAAACTTTTTATGCTTGTTTAAAAATTGTACTTAAAACATAGAAAAGTTTAATACATTAAAAGACAGCTGAAATATTTTTTCTTACCAGTTGTATTTGCGAAAGACTGAATTTGACCTATTAAGCTATTGACTGTTCCCTTGTTACCATCTAGGGCCAAAGTATAAGCATACAGGAATGTTTCGTAAGGATTCAAGGGATTATTTTTCTGCATACATTTTACAGCTTTGTTGATGACAGTTTGGTTCTGGTAATCCGAAATGAGGAGGGAAGCAAGGACATAAGCTGTGATTGTTCCATTTCTGTTATCATTTTCTAATCCTCCCTGAAATAATAAAAATGATAATACAATAGAGGTAATTTTATTACCACATAATTTGATGAAAGTTTAAAATATTGGTCGTCTTTGAGTTAGCTTGGTGATTTGAGCAACATGAAACAATTAATAAATATTTTTCAAAATGCTTTGTGAAAATTTTCTCTTTTAAATCAAAATTAAATTGAATTTATAAAAACTGAAATATACAGCATGAAAAGGAACAAGGAGAGTAGAAAGTGTTAAAAGTAACCCTATTGCCCATTGAGCAGTCTGGAATTTGCTGAATTGCCTTAATAAAACTGTCAACTTTCATAATTGTTTGAATACTTCCGCCAATAAATGTATCACGGATTTGACAATGTAAAAGCAATGTCAATTTGTCCCCAAGATTTTTTGGGAATCAATATTTTTTATGCGACTAAATAAACAGGTTTAACAGCAAGACAGGTTTCTCCCCATCCGTGCAAATAGCTCAGCATTTATATCAACCACCACTTTTTTCAAATAAATAAACTTGAAGGGCATTAAATTTATTCTTACCTGTGTATCTTTTGTTAATTTTTTTTAATTCTGTCATGAACGATTGGTGGTGCTTAAAAGTATGCTGAAAAATAAAAGTTTCCGGTTTGTTATTTTTGTGTAATTACTTATGTAAAAGAAGACTAAATGAAAACATCAACGCTGTGAGTGAGAGGATAGCACAGTAAGCTATTTTCTTCTGCATGTTGTCATGTAATTATGTTGCAAATTACACTGAAGTGACAAAAGTCATGGGATACCTCTTAATATCGTGTCGGCCCTCCTTTCGCCCGGCGAAGTGCAGCAACTCGACGTGGCATGGACTCAACAAGTCGTTGGAAGTCTTCTGCAGGAATATTGAGCCATGCTGTCTCGATAGACGTCCATAATTGGGAAAGCGTTGATGGTGCAGGATGATGATGGTCGATGATGTCCCATAAATGCTCGATGGGATTCATGTCGGGTGATCTAGGTGGCCAGATCATTCGTTGGAATTGTCCAGAATGTTCTTCAAACCAATCGCGAACAGTTGGGGCCCGGTGACATGGCGCATTGTCATCCATAAAAATCCCATCTTTGTTTGGGTACATGAAGTCCATGAATGGCTGCAAGTGATCTCCAAGTAGCTGAACATAAGCATTTCCAGTCAATATTCGGTCCAGTCGCACCAGAGGACCAAGTCCATGCCATGAAAAAACAGCCCACACCATTACGGAGCCACCACCAGCTTGAACAGTGCCTTGCTGACAGTTTGGGTCCATGGCTTCGTGGGGTCTGCGCCACACTGGAACCCTACCATCAGCTCTTACCAACTGAAATCGTGACTCATCGGACCAGGCCACGGTTTTCCATTCATCTAGGGACCAACCGATATGCTCACGTGCCCACGAGAGTCGCTGCAAGCGATGTCGTTCTGTCAGTAAAGGCACTCGAGACGGTCTTCTACTGGAATAGCCCAAGAAAGCCAAATTTCTCCGCACAGTTCTAACAGACAAGTCCCTTGTACGTCCCACATTGATTTCTGCGGTTATTTGACGCAGTGTTGCTTGTCTGTTAGAATTTACGACTTTCTGCAGACGTCGCCGGTCTCAGTCGTTAAGTGCAGGCGGTCGACCACTGCGCTGTCCATGGTGGGATGTTATGCCTGAAATTTCAAACTCTCGCCACACTCTTGACACAGTGGATCTGGGAATGTTGAATTCCCTAACGATTTCCGAAATGGCATGACCCATGCGTCTAGCTCCAACTAACATTCCGCGTTCAAAGTCTGTTAATTCCCGTCGTGCGGTCATCATCACGTCAAAACCTCTTCACATGAATAACTTGAACAGAAATGAAAGCTCTGCGAAAGCACTGCGCATTTATACCTGTTCTACGCGATGCTACTGCCATCTGAAAATTTGCATATTGCTATCCCATGACTTTTGTCACTTCAGTGTATAAGCAAAATTATCAGATTGAAAACATTAATTTTCATCATATTAAAAAAAAAAGGAACAATATTTTATATTCTTTCATTAAATGTTGCCCTAAAGGTAGTTATTTTTTTTCGATAATATAATTTGACAAGGAAATATTGTTAAGTTTTCGAACTTGATCTTCACTGAGCATACAGCATACACCAAACAGAATCTTTGATACAAGGAGATATAAAAGTTTCTGCTAATTTATGATTTGCACCACAATAACAATAAGATTGCTATAGATTAGCAATAGAAATATTTAATCTATATGATGCTACAATCGTATTCTCATTAGCTGTGCTTGTAGATACAAAAAATTGTAGATTAAGAAAATTTATAGTCAGTGAAAAAATTAATTAGAACTGCATCCCCATATCAAATTCAATCATATATGACTGATAATGCATCGAAGAACTGTTAATAAGAATAGTTTATATCTCTTAGTGTATATTTATATGATACATACTTCTTTTTAATATTGCATTTTAGTTCAACTCCAGTCTTAAGAACCAATTAAAGCACCGTTTATTTACCTTTACATTACATACGGATTGTATTGCTTGTCGATATTATCGAAGGGTAATAATAATTTTGACATCTACATTAATAATCAAATAACCAGCTACCTTTAACCTAACCCAACATGAATTTTTCCATTAAATCTACAGAACTGAACAATGTGTGGTTCAAGTTCCAAAAATCATAAAGGTAATTGTAATCACATTTCTATAAGTATGATTAAATATCTTCCATTAATAAATGAAGATTTGAAAAATAATTGTTTCCTCTTACTTGTATGCCACTGTCAATGATCCTGCCAACATTTGGAAAGCACCCATCTTTTCTTTGTTTGCTTATTATCCAATTTTGAGCATCAGAGAGCACGCTGTCGTCGATGTAGATGTATCTTTTGGCCTCGTGGAAAGAGCGCAGAACAAATGCCGTCAAAAACATGCTTCCCTCTGGGTCGTTTTCACCAAATGCACTGAAAGAACCATCGTAGTGTCTGAACGTCATTTCCCGTTGGTAGCCTAATAAAATACAAATATTATTATACGTAATGATGATATATGGAACAATTCATTTTTAAGGTATTTATTTTGTGCATATATGTACATAGAAATGTGTTTTGATAAATCGGCGTAATATGGATTAAAATTTACACTCAAGAGCCAAAACATTATGACCACCTGTCAATAACGAGTTGGCCCACATTTGGCGCGCAACACAGCTTCAACCCGCCTTGGCATGGATTAATACCACCGCTTAATGCAATTAAATACCACTTCCATCTGATCACGTGCTTTCCACGTCATCCAGGCGAGTTCATTGCAAAATGTAGGAGTGGTCATAATGTTTTGGCTCTTGAGTGTATTAGGATATAGTTAGAATCCTATTTCATTTTAATTTTGTAAAAGGGGTAATCATATTAAAAATCATGTCTTTAGAAAATATTAACAAGTAATATAAAAAAAAATTTTAAAGTCAATTTCTACTTTTTTTTCACTATATTGCAGAAAGTCCTTTATAAATAATTTTCATTCATTTTTTTTACGTTTATCTGGCGCCATCTATTGGTAGATATACGCAACTTAAAACTAAAAAATAAATAAAATTAATTAAATAAATTTAATTACTGGATTAATATTTGAAAAAAATGTATTAACATCAAGTATCATCCACTA